AAATGACAAACCAGAAGATATTGATGGGTATCTAGGTCCTTGGGGATGTTATGTTGATGAAGAAAAAATATCAAAACCAGAAGGAGTAAGAAAGTGTTTTGTTTTGTTAAATTGTTTTTAAAATCTCTTCTATTTATTGATTTTTTAATACTGAATACATTTTTCTTTCAAAGTTTATTATATTATTAATTATTTATTGCTAAATGCTTGTTTATAGGAAGATGCAATTGCTATTGAAGAATTTCTTGCAAAAAAACATAAACGCGGCAAAAAAGTGGAAGATAAAAGCTTCAAAGAAAAATCAATTCTGCATAGTAATTTTATTTTAAATTGAAATTTATGAATTTAAGTTTTAAATTAAAAATTTTTTCACAGTTAAAGATCCTGTTGATTACCAAGGACGTTCATTTTTACATATTCCACAAGATGTAGGTGTTAATCTTAAATCAAATGCGCCTCCTGATAGATGTTTCCTTCCTAAAGCTCATATACATACATGGCAGGGTCATACTAAAGGTATATCAGCAATTAGATGGTTCCCAAGGTCTGCACATTTACTTATGTCTTGCAGCATGGATTGTAGAGTTAAGGTATGTATTTAGTTATCCCATTTTTAAACTGTTGGTGTGGTGTATTAAAAAAGTGTTTTATTTTTAGTTATGGGATGTCTATAGAGATAGAAAATGTATTCGAACTTATATAGGTCATACACAAGCAGTGAGGGATACATGTTTCAACAATAAAGGAACAAAATTTTTATCAGCAGGTATAGTATTTTATATCATACAATTGTTTATGTGTACTGTAAACATCCGTTAACTTGGGGATAATAGCGTCTTAGGTCTATGCGGTCGGGTAGCTTAGTGGTAGAGCAATCGCCCGGCAAGCGAGAGACCTGGGTTCGATTCCCGGTCCGGCGGCTAGATTTTTGACGTTATTTTCCCCGGGAGAAGTTAACAGTACTGTGTAGGCTTTATTTTAATTACTGATTAATAACAAACATTATTATTTACTTAGCGTATGATCGGTATGTTAAATTATGGGATACGGAAACTGGAGACTGCATAAAAAGTTTTACTAATCATAAAGTATTATATTGTGTAAAATTCAATCCAGAAGAAGAGAAACAACATTTATTTGTTGCTGGTACCGCTGATAAGAAAATTGTTTGTGTAAGTGAAAAATATATTTATATTATTTTTGTTAAAAACCAAAAAAATTCAACTCAATTTATGATGTTATTAATGTACATATTTAAATATAATTTTAGTGGGATACCAGATCAGGAAATATTGTCCAAGAATATGAACGACATTTAGGAGCAGTAAACAGTATCACCTTTGTTGATGAAAATAGACGATTTGTCACAACGTCTGATGATAAAAGTCTACGTGTTTGGGAATGGTATGTTCATAATATATAATTACATAGGTTAGCATACATTTGAATATTCTAATATTAAAAAAGATTAATTTTTGATTAAAACTGAGGAAAATGTATTTTAATCAAAACAAAATAAATAAATAATTTGAAATTTTATCTAGGGATATACCAGTAGATATGAAGTATATAGCTGATCCAACCATGCATTCGATGCCAAGTGTTACAATTGCACCAAATAAAAAATGGCTAGCTTGTCAAAGTATGGATAATAAAATAGTTATATTCTCGGCAATGAATCGTTTCAAAATGAATAGAAAAAAGAGTTTTACTGGTCATATGGTGGCCGGATATGCCTGTTCTTTAGATTTTTCTCCTGATATGAGGTACAAATTATAAATTATTATTCATAATTAAAAGATTGATTATTTAAATTTTATTATTTGTTTATTGGTTTAGTTACCTAGTCTCAGGAGATGCTGATGGAAAAGTATTTATTTGGGATTGGAAAACAAGTCGCTTGTATACAAAATGGAAAGCACACGACAATGTGTGTATTGCTGCATTGTGGCATCCACACGAACCTAGTAAAGTCGCAACTGCTGGATGGGATGGACTGATCAAATATTGGGATTAACAAATCTACCATAAATATATTTTGGGTATCTTTAGTGTGAGTTACCTATGATTTGTGTTATAAGATACTCAAACATGTAACATATATATATATATAATTATATATTATTTTGACAATTTTTATAATTACATTTTGTAAGAATTTGTTTGTATATTATTTCAAATTTAATCCTAGAAATTTTAACTAATATCATTGAGTATAAACTTAATGCTAATATTAATTTTTAAATAGATCTATCTATACCTGAATTAACATTTTTTCAAATGTTACAATAACACATTCAAAATAATTTCATATTATATACATAATAATATAATAAACAACTTGGATTGATGAAACGTAAGATAATCAGCAAAATATTCGGTATTAAGTGAATTATCTTGATATTTTGATCTTATAAAAATATTTATAGCCTCAATCAGTAGCGCTGTATATTGTGTCGTAAAATACTATGATACATTACAGTGGCGTATATAGAAATTAATTTCGGGGGGAGGGGGGAGGGTTAAAAAAAATGTATTTACCTAATCAATATTATAAACTAACTTTTTTTTAATAATTATAGACATTAAATTAAATAATTAAATTGAATTGTAGTACACACATTTTACAAAATGCACCTTCTATTTTTTTTAGAATATACTAGGTAACAGGAGAAACGTCCGATCCAAGATAATTGAAATTTTAATTTTCTTTTTGAAATTACCGGAAAGTTGTATTACGTAGGAGGCTGCCATGGTTTTTTCAATAAATCATATTTCAAGATATTCGTGTATTAATATATAAACCAATATCAAGAATTTCATTTAATTCAGTTAAATCAATATTACTATCAATTTTGCTATTATTAATAGTATTGGATGAACAAGGATTATCGTCATGTTTTTCAGTCACGGATACCTTTTTATTAAAAAAATATAGTAATGAAGGTTATGATGCCATATTTAATAATTAATATTTTGTTACACACGCGACACTTACCAAAACAACAGACGTCCGAAAAGAAACTAAATTTTGTTTGTCCGGTTCTCTGGTTCTTCATAATAATTAACAACCAAATAATAAGAAATAATAATATCGAGAATTTCGTTTTTAGATTATCATCGTATATTCAACACAGACTTCTATACTAACTATATATACATATATTATATAGACCATYGACGACGCACAGCAGTCCATCACGATGCGTCGTTATCTTGTAGTATTTCATAGAAATCCTGACAATATAATTTAATAATAATAATATGATATAATATTATAACAATCAAAGTCAAGGTCAATACCAAACATACATTTGGGGGGGGGGGGGTTAACCCCCACACTATATACGCCACTGATACATTATAATAGTTATTAATTTTATTCTTCTCAGTATAAATAACACTGTTTCATTTACAATCATTATGTGTTATGTATTAAAAAATAATAATAAATAGGTGCATTCTTGAAGTATTAGTATTCTAAAATTGTTTCAAGCTCAACTAGAAATTGAAACCTGCGCACGTTTATGAATACACTACTGATAATTTTCACTTATAATACAATTTAAGAACAATCATTCTTTGAAATTTACCTAATATTCATTCTTATAATCATGAAATGAAGCTATTTACTTTGGATAAGATATATTTTGAGAATATTATAATGAGTTAAAATAACTAACAACCCATTTCATATTTAGAAATTGCAAGAAAAACACTGTCAATCTGCCATCCTATAAAAAATTAGTTAAAACAGGGAACATAGACCTGCAGATTTAAATTTTTTTTATGCTGTAAATAAATACAAAACAATAGGGAACATGTTCTGCTGTGTAGTAGGTGCTAAATGTAGAGTGTCATTGAGCATTTTATTTAACAAATTAGTTAAATTTGTATACAATGGTTTATCATCAAATACATACAATTATTCTGACTGGTTGTTTTACATCAGGATTTATTACATTTTTAAATTAGTTATACAAGTAGGTTGGAGTAATTTTTGACAAAAAAATAAATACATATTATTCTCAATTCAGTATTGATGTACTATACATATCAGGGGTGGCCAGTGAGGTTGCGAAATGTACAGTATAATGAAAAATATATAAGGGCCAAAATTCAGGAGCAGGAAAATAAAATAAAACATCAAATGTGATAAAATGTGCAAAAGGCAAAACAATATATCATATTAAATTTTTAGGGATGATTTTGTCTTTCTAAAAAATCTATTATTATGTTAGTAAAAATGTTTTGCGCTTTATGCTAAGATAGAAGCCACAGTTAGACTACTACTGATACATTTATTATCTTTTAATTATCAGCAGAAGTAGTAGAAATGTGGAATTTGTTTTTATTATACAACAAAATAATACATTTTTTTTATGTCAAATTATATATGTTGTGTAAATATTATCAATTTTTCATTTAATTTTTAGTATCCCTAATGACTAAGAAAAGAATAGGAATTTTTAATCCTCTCAGTACTCTCTAGAACCAGTATGCAACCAGAAACCAATCTTGAAATATATTTATTGCTCTAAAAAAAATGAGGAATTAAAAAAAAAACCAAGTAAATTTATTTCTAAAATATCTAATTATTGAAGACCATAAAATCATAAATATAAGTATTTAGTTTTTATGAATAATTAAAACTAGGTTATTTGTATAAAGTCTACTGTACATTATCAAAATAATATATAATATTAAATTAAAATTACATCTTTTGAGGCTTTATTTTCTCCAACAAATGGAAACCAGTGTATGATACTGTTTTCACTGAAAACCAAGGCCCTCAAAAAGAATCTAATCAAACATATTTTATATTAAGGATAAAAGAGTTTGGTTTTCAGTCTGTATTTTCTCGGGTACATAGTATAATTAATAATTACAGTCATATTATATTTTACCATGATAACTATAATAAATTTAATAATTTCATGAATTTTACAATTTTATTCTTAAATATAAGTCAATTATTTCAAAAATTGATTATTGTTTTTTCATTTTATTTTATTAAAATAGTTGTATATAACTTAAAAATGTACAAGATTTTTGTTTTTAAAAATGAATTTATCATTAGGAATGCGTATTTTTGGCATGATGTTATTGTTATATAGCTTCCAATAATTATACAGTAGAACCTCATTAATCCGGACCCCATTAGTCCAGACAGTTGTCTAATATTGTCTAACATCGTCACGACGATGAAAAAATATCTACATATTACGAACATTTGAGGCATCTACATGAATTATAAATACAAAAAATAAATGCTAAAGGAAGACAACAAAAGACTAGCAGTTTTTTCAAACCAGTTAATGAAAGTGTGCCTAAATATATAATAATCATGATTATATATAGTAATTAGTTTAATATGATATTCATAAAACTATAATAGGGACATGTTTTTTGGTTATTTTGTTTAATCCGTACTTTCTATAAATTGGACAACTTAGAGCCCCTATTAGTCCGGATTAATAAGGTTCTAATATATTAGAGTTTTTGGTTCTAATTCTTTAAGCCATTTTCTTAAAAAAATTTATGGACATCAATATTTTATTTCCTCATAATTCAACTTAATTTTCTTGCTTTCAAACTTGACAAAATTTGAGTTCAATAATACAAACAACAAACACTTTGTAGTCTACAAGTACTTTTAAAAATGAGGTAAACACACTTTTCCAGCAAATAACTCAGATATTACAGTTACCCAGAGTGACAAGACAAATAAAATATATGAAATGCCAACTTGATGACTGTTTGGTAGTTGATATGGTTGACCACCAATCTCTGGTATATGAAAACCCATTGGAAATACCACGGCAGCAAAACAAAATAGTACCACTGGAAAAATCAATAGTTATAAGTTTATGTAACCTCTGAAACATATTTAATTTATCTTACTGGCAGTAAATCCAACCCAACGTGCATATGGTATGACATTACGGTCCCAATGTGAAGAGGCCAGTAAAATTATGGTAGTAGTAATACATATACATCCAATGAAAATACTGACTAAAGCCAATAACCATTCAAGTCTCAGATCAGGAGTGAAACACACTTGTGGTCTGTTAAAGAGAGTCATACACGTCCACATCAATCCCAATCTAGTGTCACCTAGAAACAATTTTCTTAATATTAGCATCAAAAGAACTAGTATCTGTACCTATAGGCTATAACCTACTTACTAATTTTATTAATAATAATTATAAGCTAATAATCACCTCCTACATCGGTTATGATCCAGTCAGGCATCGCCAAACTGATGATTGCAAATACATCGGCCAATAAGAATAAAGTTCCCGATATAACAGTAAGTTTGTCCATTTCAACGCCTTGCAATTTCAACCCATTACAAATTATAGAAATCTCAAAGTGTCAGTAAATGTTTCATAATTATTAATAACTATTATTATTAATTATTCATAACTATTTAAGTATTTCTTATATTGTTCTACTGCTGCAGTAGGACACATAAAGTGGTATATTATAATAGCTTACTCTGAAATAGTCAAAAAGCAAGTATTCAATAGTCAATACTTAAAACTCTAAAATAACTTATAAATAATTAATAATTATATTATTATTTACTATCTCAATGATAGCAACGAGATAGTGTTATCTAATTGTTACCAGGTTTGAGATTAACGTTAAAAAATAAAAGAAGTAACCATCACATATTCACATTATGAAAACATTGAAAACCAACAACTAACTTTTATAATAGGTGTTATGCTGTAGACTGTAGAGTGCAGACTTTGAACTTTCAGATTTCTGTTCACTCCTCTGGTCCACTGATAACTGATTAGTAGTTGTAATTAATAATTATTAATTAGTTACACGAAAGTTACAATGTACACATTTTAGGTATTTATAATCGGCAATCGCAGATGGGTATCGTGATTATATTGTGTTAAAAAAAATACAGAATACTATTTAAGAAAACGAAGATTTTGAAAGCAATGCAATTTATTGTAAACATCAATTGAAATTTTAGTGGGCTCTATACATGATTAATTTTATTGAGCCGATAATTATTCTTCTATTAAGAATATCAAAATAATTTTTATACCTACCTGTTTTTTAATGAATAATGATGATACATTTAAAATTGATCATGTATGTGGATCGGGCATAGCAGGGGTAATGACTAATAGAGCATGAAGTCAGTACGTATCTATTTAAATAAACAATGTTTTCGACAATTTATACTCTTAGTTCTCGTGTAGTCATGTAACGATGGCGAATAAATAAAATTTAAAAAAAATTTCATTCCTGAAGAATCGGTAAAAGAGCTAAATAGGCCAATTGATATCTTGCATATACAACAGTTTAGGAATTCAGAATAAAACCAAATAGGTACAAAATAATTGGATATTTGGATTTGGTTTTGGCTCTTAAAAAAATGCTATAAAAACGGTGCTGCTTGTTGCTACCCGATAATGGGTACTGCGTAGGTGGGTTAATTATTTTTCGGAGTAAAACGATTTTGCGACATATTATTGTGGAACCAATATATAAAAATAAAAATAAAATCTATATTCTATATGACAATACGCGATACGTCTTTACCAGAGGTGTCTAACCCGCGGCCCATTGTAGATTTTGATGCGGTCTTCACTTCAATTTTAAAACCATGAATTAATTGTATATAATATATTAATATTACGAGAACAAATTTAATTTAGGAAATAGGAATATAAAATTAATAAAATACCAAATAAACTATAAAGGCCGATGCACACGTCCGTGTTTTTATTAGTAATAGTATTAATATGCTTGTAAAAATATTTCTGCTTATTATTCACTATAGTAAAATTATAAAAAAATGTATTGTTGTATTATAGAATATAATTTAATCATTAAATTTGAATGTATTATTTAAAAAAAGTGTGTGGCCTACAACAACTTCTACCTCTATATGATATTGTTATTGTGGCCAGTCTTCACAAAAGGTTGGACACCCCTGGTCTATACAGTATACCTACATTTTCTTCTTGTTTAAAGGTCATAATTGTGTGGAACAAAAGACTATTGGAACAAGTGTTTTGTGGAACTAAACTACTACCACGTCTGCACTACGGCACTACCGCATTTTGTTGTATGCTACCGCGGCTGCAGATATAAAATTGTACCTATTTTGGCATTGGCAGTGGTATAAAATGGCGACGGTTGTTGGTCGCGGTGCGCATGCGTAAAGTAATGTTGAGTAGGTGTGTTCATGCGCAAAATGACCGTGCGCACGTCGGACAGTACAACAACAATAACACATCGCGAATTGCGATAACCACGGCAGCTGTGATAACCGTGGCTCTACCATAATATTATTATTTTTATCATTTACTTTGTTAGTTGTTTGTGATATAGGTACCTAATACCTATTATACTGTCGACTGTAATTTTAACTAAATATTAWACTGTAATGTCGTCAACTACAATGTACGTTATTTTTTTCTATTATTTCGTCGTGAATTACGACGGTAAATGCARTCGTGCCCGACCACTGACTGAGTAMTGACTGATTCTATTTGTCATTATCCTTGCTCATCGCTGTCGTCTTAACAGGCACCTAYCATTAATAAAAACGATCGCAATCATCTTTTCGGGTCGAACAAAGTTCGAAAAAAGTTATTAACTGTCTTCGAATGACGATGACGACTGCTGAACCGTGTGAAAGGTCCGGCGAAGTGGCCGCCGCTTGATCGCAGAACCATGACGGCGGCGTCGAACCATGGACCGCGCCGGACAACCACCGCCGCTCAGCGCCTCCAATATAACGCTGTCGGTGGACAGTTCCAAGGGACGTTTGGTGGTCGAACGGATGGACTCCATCAGGAACCTGTTCGGGTGTGAGCTGCAGATCGTCAACGGTGGTGGCGGGACATCCACGGCGGCGGTGGTTTTTGTCGTCACCAGGCTGGACGAATACAAGGCGCCGGACGATCGTTTGATCGATCGACTAAAGGTAGATAATGTCATGCTATAAATAATTCTACTTACATGGTCGTCGATCTTTCGCTATTTTAAAATTAAAAAAAAAAAAATCGTACCTAGTCTCACTTCGACCGAGTTTTACTAACCGATTAGTTTACGAATTTTGTTCTTAACTTTAAAGCCTGTATAAGTATATTAAGAGATTTTGACGGTCAGCTAGCTGCAGTTGTGTAATAGGTAGACGAAACGAAAACGCATTATGCTATTCGCTCGATTCGCATTGAAGCCAGTCCCCGCCACATTTAGTCACTTGCACAGTTGCACTGCTATATAGTTGATTACATACTGGCTAATACAGCTGCATATTAGTTTAGTACCATAACATCGTATAAAAATGTGGCATTGTAATTTGTAATTTATTTAAGACATGTTACAGGTTTAGTGCCTTAGTAATAATGGGGAATCTGAGTGCTGAATACTYCTCGCAACCCCACTTTTATTTATTTTTTWTGATGATGAGAATTAAATATCGAAAACTAAATTGTTTTTTTTTCTTATCAATTTTTAAATAATATTCATCTCATACAATATCGTACTTATACATAATATGTATATATCTAAAGCAAAATACAGATATGATATATTATATTTAACTTTCAGTTTCTTCCCATGTCTTTCTCTTATATCGTCATTTTTCTATGATAGGTAGCTAAGCACCTACCTATATCATACTATCATYGATATCCAGAGCCTAGAGAGRTAGAGGATAAGCGTTCTAAAATAATTAGTCCGAAAAAGCTAAGTATAAAGTAGTTCTGTTGTTACGACATTATTATTATTAATTTATATAAAATTTCCTACTCAATTAACTATAATTGTTTTTGCTTGAAATAAAGTATTAAGTTTATTAAGTATATTATTTTATACTTTGAAAATATTTTCGTTTACTAATAATGTATTAATATGATTTACATAAATAATACATTCATATAATATAAACAAATCATAATGCATTATACAATGTAAATAAAATATTGATCTCCGTTACCTAGTCTTGATTACACACATTACGTATATAATACGTTACAGTAAATATTATCACGTACATGTGTAGGTATTTAATGCTTATATTTCTACCTACTAACACATTAATTAGTAGCTGCTGGTATGCATAATATTTAATATTTGTCGTCGAAAAACGATGGGATGTATGCACAAAATAAATATTGGATAACCGTARCSCTAGGTACCTAGAATATATTGTGATGTGAAGTGATGTTATAATATTATTATACTACCATCATAGTCTACGTCTACCGACGATGTTTAATTAATAAATAAATTATTATTGACTATTGTTATATATTGTGTCGTGCACCGCAACGTCCGTTTAATTTTTGTATGTGCTCGTAGGGATGCGTAACGAAATCCACTCGCTGATCAGACATAATATATAATATTGTAATGTACATATTCGATTAATTATCACGYTTGTTTTGTGCACTGGTACCTAGAAATCAATATTTCACCAAATCCTGTTACACACAAAAGCACAATAGAGACATAGGTCTGCCATTCATATTCATGTATAAAAACATTATGCCGCAACGTTGTACACATATTATAAGCACGTGAAAGGCGCCCAAGTACATCCTGTTCGTGTGTGTGTGTGTGATTTACTTTCCCTTTCGATAATGGCCTAAATCGTTATTTAGAATCCATCTGTGCGTCAAGAACGTCCGTAATTGGATTGGTGCCTATATAACCTATAACCTACACGGATTTGGTGTTTTTTCGATTTTTTTTTTTATCCCCGATCGTCACTTACGATTTTCTAAACATACGTTCAGTAAATTATAGTTTTTAACAAATGTAGTTTATAGCATGCTATAGTTGGTACCTAGATTATTTCTGCGTAATATATAGCGTATTTTTTCTTCGACTAAGCGCGTTGGTTTTCATTATTTTCAATTCAAATCAAATTAAATGGTGCGTGACTGCTTCCTCAGAGTTGGTTTCCCTATATTCCCTTTATTCTCACAAAAAGTAATGGAACTTGTAATAAAATTAGATCAAGTTTGATTAGAATTGCCTATACTTTATATATTGCTTAGTGTTTAGCAAACATTTAGACCTATAAATAATTATATAAAAACCTAATATTTTTCAACAGTTTTAGTGCACAATATTTCGTATTCGTTTTATTATAAACTATAGCGATCCTCTTAAATTTCTTATACGTGGTTATTTTCCTGTATACCTATTTTTTAAAGCCTTGAAAAAAAACCAGTACATTCACCTATGTATATTATATATAGTTAAACTACATAATTTCAATTATTTTTAGCGTTTACCAAGGTGATGTATTTTTCTTTTTGTACAAATATAAATAATTGATACTATATATATTATATGTATACCGATTTATTTTTAATTACTTCGGTACAATATAATATTCAACTGATTTTCGAAATCACTATTTTATAATGTGTATATTGCAAACAATCCAAAGTAAATTAGTCTTGTTCAAATATTAATCAAATTTAAATAAATCTTTACTTCTTCTTCTTTAGCTTTTTACTGGTCTTTCAGACACATTGCCGCAACAACATACCATCTCTATTATCTATTCTTCCCTATCCTTTCAATATTTCCTGCATACTTTACTCCCAATAATCTCGACCTTCCTTTATTCTGTCTGCCCATATTTGTCTAGGACGTCTTCTGGATTTATTTCTGTTAGATTTACACACTATTTTGTTTGTTCAATTAGTCGTTCTGATACATATCCATATCCATACATGCCCAATCTAACTTATTCACGCAGGTACTTTTCAAAGTTCCAAAAATGCTAGGTTCGTTTTATTGATTTTCTAAATGTTGTTTATTCCGTATTTCATACTTTTAATTTATGTTTCTTTTTGGACCGAATATTTTCTTCAGTATCTTCTCAAATACTTGTAACTTTATTTTATCAGCTCAAATTAGCTGTAGTTAAATTATTATTATTATGCTTGCTATCTTTATAAATTTTATAAATTGTTTTGAAATATTCGAGTTTTATTATAATTTCAACTGCTCATTGGTCCATTAGCTAGGATACTAAATGTGAATAAGTGATCAATTTATATAATATCTTKAACTCTGAAAGTGTTTATTAACTTGGGTGTCGTTTAGACAGGTATTCTGTTGACAGGATATTTAAGTGTATCGTATACCTATAAATATAAATATATATGCATCATATCGTCACCTTTATTACATATTCTATTTAGAGATATACACTTTTTGAATTTTTGATCACTTTGGTAATGTGGAATTATTTATTATTTACTATACGAAATATTTTGATTTGATGGTATATTATGTGGCCGCGTTCAGTTGTTTTCTAGTTAGGTTCTTTCAGAGAACAAATCTGTTTTAATAAGAATATTAAAATTTATCCAAATAGAAAAACGTATCACTGCAGGTTTTGCAATCATATTTTCAGCTAGTTTCCTGTTAGATACAATTATTGACACTCCTTTTAGATTAATCGTAATATGCGTATTTACAACTTAAAATTGTATTGATATACTCTATCAGATACTTATTCTATAATATGTATTAGAATTGAAATGTAAATTATTGTAGTCCAACATCGGTTCCTCTGAATGATTTTCAATTATGTTAAAAATATTTATTTAGGAAGGTACATACTTAATAAATCGGTTTCTTTTTTTGGTATAACAGAAGGCATAGTGGGCGTTTTTTCAATGCTCGCTTTCCAAACTCGACGATTAATTTTTTGCTGCATAAAAATTATGCTTCAATTGTCTTATTGTACTTATTTATACATAATACACATCAATAGTTAGATAAATTAAAAATCATTGTGGTTTCTATGAGACAATATATTTTTTTACTGTAATATTTTATACTGCTACTGGTAAAATCAAATTCTAAATAATAAAATGTCTTATCATTAATTAAGAAATCATACTGTTAAAATATATAATAGGTATACATAATGACATAATGTTAATTTATCAACAATTTCTACGATAATTTCAAGTAAAACAAACCGTATTAATTTCCATGCTGAAATAATATTTTATATTGTATAGTGCATACAACCATTGGTACACATCAGAGTACATRTTTAAAAAAATTGTTTATTATAAAATATATAAGTTTCTAAAATCTATTAATTCGTTGTTTGATACGATTTTTAATAAATAACTTTAAGTACTTATTAAATTCAGTAGGTACTAATGATTCCTACATTGTTAACATAGGTTTTGCTTCAGAATCGAAATAATAAGTACTAGGGATAACGTACTATGTGTATATTGTGTATACAGCAAAAACATTGTAAGTCATTGGGTTTTAACCAGTTATTAGTCAGATACTTACATACTTTAAGTACCTATATTCTAGATATGACGTACGTATGAAATTTAAAATATGAATCTGTTATCGGATGTCATATTGTCACGGACCAATATATTTAGAAGGTCATATTCTATACTTGGCTTTACTTGATGAACACTTTAGACACTTTCTCTGAGGATTAAAATCAACTTCTTTGATGCAATTTATTGTTATAATAGCATGAAAAAAACTATTGGGCCGTGCAAAACGTTATTATTATAATATGGGTTGAAAGCGAAATAGAAACGTTCTCACAATTTTGTAAAAGTATCATAATGTACTCTATGTAGTAATAATTTTGATTTTAAATACATMAATTATCTACAGCCTCGTCTACAGTTTATTTGTATTGTAATTTATAATTATTTTTATCGTCGAATAAAGTACCTACCTATTTTTAACTTGAATTGACTTATAAGTATCCGCGTGTGTATAATTAATTGGTCAATTAACATTACAAAACAAAGCAGGACCGATTAAATATATATATTTTTTTTAATTAAAAATACTACAGACCATGGTAATCCGCGGGTAATTCCAAATACATGGGTTTTTAACATCTAAAATATATGTAAGTGATAGGTATAGGTGATAGGTGATAGGGGATAGGTATATGTA